GAGGGGCCCGCGCTGGGGGGATGCACGGTGTTTCACTGTTTTCGTCCTCCGTGGGCCCCTGGTGGGCACCAGGACCGTCAAAACATGACTCGGGATGAACAACCAGTCCTGGGGAATGGGTCGAGACCTCTGAGGGTCGACGTTATGAACGAATCATGGCATCGGGGCCGGGGACCGAGCCGCCAGGTGGGTTCGGTTCAGGCGGTTTGGTAAGTGTCCTAAGGGAAGCGGGTCCTGAGGGAGAGGGGGTCCTCAGGGCAACGAGTTCTGGACCTTCATGCAGGGGCAACGTTACGGGGTGAATAGGCTCAGGGGGGAGAAGAGAGGGGGCGCATCGACCCCCAATCCACCATTGTCCGCCGATGGGGACCCGAGAGCCCGCCCTTCCCAGGACCGTGCGGATGTCCGCTGTCGCCGATCTGTCGGCGATGCATCGCCGACTCAGGCTCAATGCTCCTCCCCTGAGATGCCCCCCCCCCTATTGACGTTACCTCTCACCACACGGGGAGGCGCGGGCCGCCCTCCTCCTCCTCCTCCTCCTCCTCCTCCTCCTCCTCCTCCTCCTCCTCCTCCTCCTCCTCCTCCTCCTGCTCCTCCTCCCTGTTCTTTCCCCCCGTGAGCCCAGCTCTGGGGCTGCTGCTGCTGTTTGCCCTCATTGCCTCCTCTTCCTCCTCCTCCTCCTCCTCCTCCTCCTCCTCCTCCTCCTCCTCCTCCTCCTGCTGCTCCTCCTCATCCTCCTTCTCCTCCTCATCATCATCCTCATCCTCCCCCTCCCCCTCCCCCACGTTAGGCTCTGACCGCACGGGGTCGTATCCCCTCGCTGTCGACGTCGAGTTTTACCGTGCGCTCGTCTCCTGCTCCTCCCTCCAGGGGGGGGAGGGGTAGGAGGAGGAGGAGGAGGAGGAGGAGGAGGAGGAGGAGGAGGAGGAGGACGACGACGACGACGACGACGACGACGACGACGAGGAAGAGTAGGAACAGAAGAAGGGAGGAGAGGAGCAGGAGAGGGAGGCGGGCGAGGGGAGGGAGCGAAGAGCAGGGCAAGGAGACCAAGGAGGACGGGGAGGGCGAGGAGGAGCAGGAGGCAGGACGAGGACGAGGACGAGGACGAGGAGGCAGAAGGAGGAGGAGGAGGAGGAGGAGGAGGACGAGGAGGAGGAGGAGGAGGCAGGAGGAGGCAGGAGGGGGGACCCAGGAGGACCCCACCACCCCTCCCAGACCCGTGCCGACTTCGGGCCACACCGCTCTGGCTCGAGCTTGTGCCTCGCACGCAGGGACAGGGCGGCCCTGGGGCGCCGAGTCCCTCAGGGCTTGGCGGCTCGTCTCTGGTCGGTCTGCGGGAAGCAAGCCAGACAGATCGAGGCGAATCTGCGCAAAGTCTGTGCAGATCCAGACAGGTCGAGGTGAGCCCTGAGATGTGTCCAGCAACTTGGGCTCAGCGTGTTGCGCCGGCGGTTCTGGCCCACCACTCTTCGGCGCGACACGCTGACCAAGTCCCAGTCCGAAGGCGTCAACGTTACGAGCCTTTCGCAACATCCCGCCACGCGGAGCGGAGCGACACGCTGTCAGCTTGCAGGACATAGCGTGCCGCCGGGCCCGCCGCCGCGGCAAGGTGAGCAAAAGCTCACGACCGCAATCTGGACAAAACTGAAGAGTTCGTGGAAGATCCAGCGCAAGCCGAGGGGCAGCCCCAGACATGCGATGTCCTGGTTTGTTCGATACGGGGGCCCCGGGAGTCCCGACCCTTCCCCCGGGGCCGGCTTTTCATCGCGAGTCGCTTTTTTCCGGCCCGGGGCCCCAGCGAGGGCCATCGGAGGCAAAATATTGCCAAAAAATGGCACGGGTCTCGTTCTAGCACGCGTCTCGTTGTGCTCGTTCGGCCATGAGTTGCATGATTGGGATAGCCCTCCTGAGGGGCAGCGGGTTCATCGATGTGCCTAGAGTCGCGCGATTGGGATAGCCCTGCTGATGGGCAGCGGATTCATCGACCTGCCTGTCCTAGTTGTTCTCAATGAAGAAACGGTCCTTTCGTGATTATTTCAAGGCGCGAGCATGTTCATAGGTATCCAGCGCTCCATTTTTTGTTCGATGCGCATGCCCGACGTGAGTCCAGGTCTGGATCCAGCGCGGGCCGAGGGGCAGCAGGCGTCGCCAGGCCCTCGGCGGCCCAGTGGAGGCGAGGGGCGCCCGTCGGCGGGCGGATGCGATGGCGCTCGCGTCGGGGCTCGGGCAGGCGGCCGCGGCCGCGGTGCTGTTCGGGGTGCCCGGGCGCGGCCTCACCGAGCCCTGGCAAGCCACCCCCTTCCCTGACGTCGTCCTCGCCCTTCGAGCTCCCCTCCAGCCGCCTGCATATGCGTCTTGGGGCGAGGCGAGGGGGGGGCGTCACGGAAGGGGGTGCTTTGCCAGGGGTCGGTTGGGCCGCCCCGGAGGTGCAGTACGTGCCCGTGAAGAAGTACAAGATCCGGCCAGCGCTGCCGCGCGAGCCCGCCGCCCAGGGTCCACGTCCGTGCCCCGAAGCGAGGATCACGGCGGGAGGTTTCCCGGTGGTTTCCTGGCGTGTTCGTCGCTTCTTGCAGGTTCTCTCGCCTCCTCGCCTCGGGATTCTTGCCATCAGCCGCACCTTCGCGAGCGTTTCGGGGGTGCCCCGATCGTCCCGATTGGCCGCCGGAGGCTTGAGTTATGGCACGAAGGCAAAACATCCTCGCGTCGTCGTGTGAAAACCACAACGGGCCGGTTTGGGCAATATCATCAGCCCCTGGGGGCCCCTCCCGGGCCCCAGGACCAGGAGGAGCCGGGTCCGCGGGAGGGGTGCCCGGCGTCCTGGGGGGGCCCGCATCGCGAAGGTATGTCATGACGTTGGCGCTCTGGGCTCGAGGCTCTTGGACGGCCTGCGCCCTCCTGGCCCTCATATCGTCGAAGTCCTGCTCCACCTGGCCCCGCTGCGGTTCGGCAGGGGGAAGCACCATGTCACTGGGGTCCTCTCCACTCTCGCTCATGCGCTCCAACTCGCCGTCTCCTGGCCCACCCAGGCCCCGCGAGGAAATCTCGGGGTCCTCCACCGGCGCTGGCACCCTCGTGGCCACGGCTGGATCAGCCTTGGATTACGTCGGGCTTGTCTCTCTACAGGTAGAATGTCCAAAAATAGTTAGAAATAATCTGGAGACTATTTGTTGTTGAATATGTTTTGTCTATGTTGGTTGATTTTGCAAATATTTTTGATCAAAATCCGCCTGTAGGGGGACACGCCCGACCTAAGCCTTGGAACGCTGGATTTGTTCACCCCTGGGCCGAGACCTCCTCGCGCCGTGGACGAGTCACGATGCAGAGGGGGATTTTGACAATGTTCGGCCTCTGGGGGGCCCTTGCTGTTCCCGAGGGCTGGCGGAGATGAGCCGGGATGAGGAGCCCGTCCCCTGGCAGGGATGCAGACCTCTTGGGAGCCACGTCGTGAACAAGATCACGACGCAGGGTTTTTGACAACCTTGGCCTCTGGGGGGCCTTGTCGTTCCCAAGGGCCGTCGAGAACGACTCGGGATGAGGAGCCAGTCCCCTGGCAGGGATGCAGACCTTTGGGGAGCCACGCTCGTGAACAAAATCATGACGTCGTATGTCCCAGCGGTGTCGTCCGACCCCCGGCGTGCGCCAGTAGCAGGCCAGCAGGCCAGCAGGCCAAGCCATGTGGCCAGCAGGCCAGGCCAGCGATGGGGGGGGCGCCTTCTCCGCCTCCTCCTCCTCCTCCTCCTCCTCCTCCTGCGCCTCCTCCTCCTCCTGCTCCTCCTCCTGCGCCTCCTCCTCCTCCTCTCCTCCCCTCCTCCTCCTCCTCCTCCTCCTCCTCCTCCTCCTCCTCCTCCTCCTCCTCCTCCTCCCCTCCTCCTCCTCCTCCTCCTCCTCCTCCTCCGCCTCCTACTCCTCCTCCGCCTCCTCCTGCTGCTCCTCCTCCTCAGGGGGGGCAGGTTCCATGAGACGTCCAGCCCGACTTTGGTGGCCTCCGCCTTCTCCTCCTCCTCCTCCTCCTCCTCCTCCTCTTCCTCCTCCTCCTCCTTCTCCTCCTTCTCCTCATGTGCCTCCTCCTCCTCCTCCTCCTCCTCCCTCCTCCTCCTGTGCCTCTCCTCCTCCTCCTCCTCCTCCTCCTCCTCCCCTCCTCCTCCTCCTCCTCCTCCCTCCTCCTCCTCCTCCTCCTCCTCCTCCTTCTCTTCCTCCCCCTCCTCCTCATCCTCCTTTTCCGCCTCCTCCTCCTCAGGCGGGGCAGGTTCCATGAGACGTCCAGCCCGACCTTGGATGCCTTTAGGCATCGTCCTCTGCCCAGAGGGCAAAGGACAACGCAGGCGCCCGTACAACAAGGATGAGCGCGCGCTGGGAAGTGAACGCTCGTTGGGCGAAGCTGAGTACCCTGTGTCGGGGCTACTTTGAAGACGACGAGGTTGGGCTATGTCGAAGATGACGATGTGTCAGAGGGCCCTGAGCTGCTGCCCCGCAAGAGGCGGCACTCACCGGGAGAATTGCGAGGCGCGAGGGCCCGACATTGCAGGCGGGGGGGCGGATCTATGACGGGACGACGTTCCAATGGTTCATGTGCTCCGGCATCCTCATGATGGGTTTCTTGATCGCGCTCGTGCGCGGGGAGGTGCAGAACGGGCTGCCGCCGCTGGTGATCTCGAGGAGAGAAAGCGGCCTACACACAAACTTTCGAAGGTCTGCGCAGATTTCTTCTGGATCGGCGCCAGGCCCCCCTGGCGCGCGGCGCGCTGGGAGCAGCGCCAGAGGCGCCGCCAGGGGGGTTGTACTGTAGATCCGATAACTCGGCGCGGACCTTTAAAGTTCAAATGCATGCAGACTTTGTCTTCCTCGATGGTCCTGGGCGGCGTGATGTGGGCCCTGTCCAACTTCCTCGTGCTCTGGCTGGTGAAGCTGCTCGGCATCGGCCTGGGCTTCTCCCTGTACCACTTCGTGAACCTCGTCGTGGGCTACGCGACCGGCCGCTTCGGCCTCTTCGGCGTCGCGAAGATGGGCGGAGACCTGGCCGTCTGCGACTTCGGCTGCTGCCTGATCTCGAAGAAGAAAACACAGCATGCACATAAACTTTTGAAGCTCCGCGCGGAGTTCTTGGATCGGCGCTGGACCCCCCCCCCTTCCCTATCGCGCCAGGGACGGCGCCGGCAGCGCCGCCAGGGGGGCCAGCGCCGGTCCGGGAAAACCGTGTGGAGCTCCGAAAGTTGACGGTTGTGCTGCCTTTTGTTCCTCTACGATCCTGGTGTCCTTCTTCGTCATGGTCCCCTGAGATCCGACGTTGCGGACAAAAATAAAGCACCATACAAAATATCATGACTTTAGCCCTAGACCCTATCTGTCAGCAGCACTTCTCGAGCCCGATGAATGGTCCTGGGGCCCGACACCGAACGAAAACACCCGGTGCGAAAGAATTGCAACGCCCAGGAGATTGTTTTTGTTTTTATCTTCTGGCGCGTTACAATCGCTACCTGGGCCAACCCCCTTCCCGCCCAAGCCCAGGTAATAGTAACGATCGTACGTAGAGGGTGGCCAGGACCCCTTCCCACATGCTGGTGCTCGCGATCACACTGTGACGATCGCACCGCACCCCGGCCCCGACGTGCCCCACCCCGCCCAAGCGTTACACTTAGCCCGGGGGCCCCGAGCCATCCACCTCCACCCCCCAGGTAAGGACGATTGTTGGAAAAAATGTCCAATGTAGAAAATGAGAGCAGCAACAAGCAGGTTATCTTGAAGTCAACATTAAGTGATTTCATATAAATACAATATTTGTAATACAAACAAGAAACAAAAAAAAACAATATCAAACAAAAAACTCAAGGTCTTCGTCGAGGGCGGCGCAGACACGCACGCGCCGGCCCGGGAGCCACCGCTCCCCGCCCCGACCGCGCGCAGCCCCTCCGACCCGCTGCTCCGAGGCGGCTGCGTGGCGATGGGCAACACCCTCGCGCTGCCGCTGTCGCCAGTCGCCCCAGCGCAGGGCGCGCGGGTCTTGGCGCAGGAGGGCGGCACGCGACAGTGTCGGGGGCACCGTCCACACCCCAAGGGCTCTGCCTCCTCCTCCTCATCCTTCCCACGTCCTCCTTCTCCTCCTCCTCCTCCTCCTCGTCCTCCTCCTGCTGCTCCTGCTGCTCCTCCTCCGCCTCCTCCTTCTCCTCCTGCTGCTCCTCCTTCTCCTCCTCCTCTTCCCACTACTTCTTCTTCTACAACGACTACTATTCCTACTGTTACTATTACTACTACTACTACTACTACTACTACTACTACTACTACTACTACTACTACTACTACTACTAGTAATTTGGATACTACTACTACTACTACTACTACTACTACTACTACTACTACTACTACTACTACTACTACTACTACTACTACGACTACTACTACTACTACTACTACTACTACTACTACTACTACTACTACTACTACTACTACTACTACTACTACTACTACTACTAC